GAATGAGTTGAAAAGTTTACAAGGTTGACCGGTCGAACGCGGGGCTCGTCCTGTTACACCGCCGGGGACATTCTCAGTTCTGGACAGACAACTTTGAAAGATAGTTTTCTAGACTCAGTTTTTGACGTAGAATCCAAATATACCATTAAAAAATTTAAAAAAATGATATGAAAAAGATGAGAACAGTTTTCTAAGAAAGAACAGTTTTTCCGGTTTTCGACCTGGTCTCACTATTTTGCCATTTTCTCCTCGAAAACTCAGTCAAATTGAGGTAAAAAGGTCATATTCGGAATCAGCACACTTTTTCCTATCCGGGTATGTGTTTTTCGTTCAAAAATAAAGATCCTCGGTAAGTTTGAATTACGCGCGCCTTATTTATTTTTTGTCTTGTGAAATGAAGCACAAGACCTTTTTTCTTACTTTTTGCGGTTGTTTATTTTCTTTTCTATTCTATCTATATTTCGAGGAGCATGCGTTAATTAGATTTCTATATAGCAAAACAACGAAAGCAGAGAATGAGAACAGCTGACTGACTATCAGAGGTGGGCAATGGACTAGGACCTTCGCGGGGCGGTCTCGGCGAGAAAGAATTTTTGAAAGCTTGACGAGGCACGGGACAATGAAGTAGAACAGCACGAGGCCACCCCCACAGAGGACATTTTTTGCTTGATAGCGAAAGACGAAATGGAAACACTGTTGCACAGGCGTTTGTGAATATTTTTTGCTTCGAAAATATAACTTACATTTGAGTTTTGAATAGCAAGATAACTCGATTCTTTCTCTCTCATTTCCTATGTACAAAAAAAAATTCCTTTATATACCAAACAATAGACAATTTAATTCTCTATAAGAGTGTATATTTATTTTTAAGATTCATCTTTGGTGTTTGGCACAGTAACTCTAACAAGAAAATCTTCAAATCTTTCAAAAAATCGGTTTTTTGCCAAAACGTCGCTAAGAATCACTAATTCAACAAAACAAGGTATACCGAAAAATTCAGCAAGAAAGTTTCTAGAATATGATGGGCTTTTTAATGAGAAATAATGATTTTTTATATGAAATCGGAGCGGAAAAGGGTCTTTGAAAAGGTCATTTTCTCGTATTTTTCACCCGTCTTAGCGACTTCTAGTATTTCCCAGTTTTTCAGGTAAAAAAAGAAGCAGATTTGCTCGTAAGTTACAGTCTGATAGAGCGAGAAATTCTGAATTTTTTGGTCTATAAACTAATGGTTTGAACTTTGGATTTTATACTGTAGAACTTTTCAAGAGCTATTTTTCTATATCAAGCTTTGCCATAACTTTATATTAGACTTCGAACGAAATCGATTTTATTAAGCACCGATATGCTTCATGTACCTCCTTAGAAAAGTTATTTTAAAAAGCCTCCATAATGTTATAATGGTTCATAGGTACTTCGAAATGTGTAAAATCGTTTTCTCTATAAAATGTTGTCATAACTAAGTCGGTCAAAAGCAGTGGAAAAGCAGGCCCCCTCCTTTCTATCTGGATCACTTTCCCTTAATATTTTTTCTCAATAAATACTGATTGAAATTTTCAGTGTTTCTGATACTTTATCTTTATTTCCAATATTATAATATGCAATAATTAAAAGCTTATATATGTGTGCTGATAGACCACGTTTTTACAATTATTTAGTGCTTTTTGGAAATAATCAAAAGCTTCATTCAATCAAAAAAAAAGAAAGCAAAATGAATGAAAGATCAATAGTGAACATTTGCGTTCAAAACGCGTTTTACATTCACTTTATTTGATACAGAAACGCCTACTTTCGCGACCTCAATGAATGAAAAGAGTTTTACGTTTCAAAGAAAGTATCTTATAAACTTTGAAAAAGTGAAACGCGATTTTCATTTTTAGCAAAAACGCGTTAAATTCGTTGCAATTGAGTCCTATACACGAAAAATTCGCTGCCGTTCGCGAGTCTTAAAGTTTGTCCCTACTCAAAACGCGTTTTTAATGAGTTATGATGGTCATAAACGCGTTTCTCGCGAATTATTGATGGCAAAAATGCAGTTTTGATTAAGGCATATATTTGAAGCGCGAGAAATTTGCCGTTTCCATGGTAAAACTGTATATTCTCGCGCTCTATGAATGCTAAAGTCGCGTTAAAACGAATTTTCAAAAGATATAGGTGACTGACAGTTCAGAGGTTTTCATGACTATATTTTTCCAGTGATTCGAACGTTTCCCTGTATTTTTTTCTAGTTAGATAAGATTCATATAAAGCTGTACATTGTGGATTTTCAGTTCAACGGATAAAACGAAGAGCGTTTCGTCCAACTCACTATAATGAATATTATTCTTCATCTTTAATAATGAAATATAAGATTTTCGAGCTAAAATCGTTTATTTACACAAGAAAAATAAAATTCCATTTACAACCGAGTCTATTTCTTATTTGTTCAAAACCGATGAGATCCTTTATATTATCATTTTGACGTCTTCTCTGGTGTCGACAAAATCTACGGTGTTGTTGGCTAAATTTTATTTTCCTCATTATCGCCTTTTTTGCAATCAATGAGAAAAACACAGTTTAGCCAAAAACCAAGTAGATTGTGCCGACGCCAGAGTTGAAGCCAAAATGACATTAAAAGCACCTCGTTGTCGAATTCGCCGATGATTTCTGCACCTAGTAGCCGATTTTTGCTAGTTTTGTTCAGCACGAAGCGGGCACAAACTTTCCGAATGAAGACAAGTATGAAGCCAGTTTCATCCTAATAATACGTCAACGCATAACTTGAAAATTGCGCTCAAAGATTGCATTGACGGATTATACTCGATTGACTAGATACAATATCTACGTTTGTTCTATTCTCTGATTCTATCATTTTACTTTCATAATTTTTCCGTTCTCTACATGTAATATTTGATCAAAATTGAGGTTATGTGCTTGTTCAGTGTGTAATGTCAATAAGAGAACGCCTCTTGGTTTGTACCATTTCATAATATTTTCGATAATACCCACAGTTGTCTCGGCGGGTAATCCTTTATCCGGTTCGTCTAGGATCAACAACGAACTCTGCCGATGGTGAGCGCGAAACAGTGCTCTTGCTAATAATAATCGAGTCTTCTGTCCACCACTTAGTTTATTCTCCATCGGTTGATCAAGATCACAGTTCAGTTCTTCACGAATGAAGTCATCAATTTTAACTAATTGAAGAAACTCCCAAACAAGATTGTCTAACTGAGAAGTCTTTTTCAATGGAACGTCATCATCATCAATATCTGTTATCATGCTGTAGATGGTTGATCGATAGTCCATATCTGTATCTTGCAACACCATTGTTCGACAATATTCAACATTATGAAAGTTTGAGATCATTTTACTTCCATCAACATGTACAGAACATTCGTAAGAACTCATTGGTATTGAACCGCTTAAAATATCATAGAATGTTGACTTTCCTAAATAGAAATAATATGTTCATATTTCATTTCCTATCTCGCAATTAAATATTACCTGCTCCACTTTTCCCCGTTATTAAAATTACTTCGCCATGTTTGAATGTTAATGTACCATCGAGTTGAAGTATAAATGCTTCTCTTGTTCCCTTGTATTTAAATTGTAAATCTTGAATTTGTAGTTCACTGTTAACAACGTACTGTTCAGCATTAATTCTCTCCTCATATTGTTCTAATATTGGTTTAACGACGTCATAGTCCTTGATCAATCTCAAACATCGAATGTAGAACACTACTATTTCCTGAATACTATCGATCAATGATGACAAATAATGATACAACGGTATGATGAGGCCACTTGTTCCCATAGTCATTAGATGAATTATAATTGTTAAAAAGGTACACATTTTACCCAGAATATTTTCGTTGAATGACAAATTATCGTACAGATAATCTAATGTGAACCACTGTCGTTCCATATCAATTTTTAATTCATTTGTGATGTCAATAATTTTGTTTTTCTCATGATGAATAACATACTCGAACATATTCTCGTTTGCTCGCGAATATTTTCCGCTCAATTTATCGTACCTATCAATCATTTTTAGTTTAATTGCTAATAATTCGTTGCTTTTCTTGTACAAATACAATCGGTAAAAGCTTGCATAAGCAATACCGATGAATATGGCTGCCAATGGACATATGTAGAGAATTGTGATTATAGCCATCAAAAATTTCGACACTTCCGTAACTTTATCAATGCAATCTTCGATTAGAGCTTGTATAGATGTCGATGCTTCTTCGATTTTACGTCTAATTTCCACTTGATCTGACACCTTTATCACAATCCAATTGGCACTTAGTATTCGTTGATTCATTGTTGTTTGAAAATGTTTGATGAAGTCGAGAACGAATGTCTTTTTGGCGAGACTTTGCTTTAATCTGCAGTACGATGTAATATTCTCAAATATCAAAAGGAGCAAAAGAAACTTTATACCAATAGCTCCATGCATGGTAATAGTCGAGAAAAACGAAACATTCATGTAAGTAGTTACTGTCATTGAAATAATAGTCAATGCAAACCAGAGGGCTAGTTCAAATGGTTTTAATACTTTAATAATATCGAGTACAATTACTGTTAAGCTCCATCGATCAGTGCGATGATTGAAAAATGATGAAAACATATCCATTACTTTCATTTTGATGATCGGCATCCTAAAAAGTTATGTTTCAATGTTGTCGATATTATACTACTATCAGTTTGTAATTTACCTGTACAGCAATAACAAATTTAAATTGATTAGAGCCTATCTTTAGTTAATTTATATCCTCATTTTTGACGTCATATCTGTGAGTAATGACGAAATTTATTTTATGGTATCCAGTGCAACACAGAGTAGTCTAGGGATATTAGGGCGTCATGTGAGATAGCATCTGTTATATTATGGCTTGTAACCATCAATCATAGTCTTATAATTGCGTAATATTGTGCAAGAAGAAAAGATAAAAATCTTTATTATGTAAGTAGCACAAAAACAAACGTGACGTTCTCTTTTTGTGATGCAATGGTTAGTAAATCAGAGTTTTTATTGTGTGAAAGATAGAATCCACGTGTAGGTTATTTTCAATACTATGCAAATAATTTTAATCACCAAAGATTTCTTTTCCTCCCTGCCCGTAATTTTCTCAGTGCGATAGGAATATATTTTCTGTTTTCGAGTTCATTCATATATAAAAATGTCAACTTAACTCTGAAAAATGTACTCAAGCACGAGAAGATAAGAGAAAAAAGTTAGATGCACTCGGCGGAATATCACCTGATTCTCCGGCAAAAGTATGTAGATAAAAGAGTAAGAAATATCGAGTTAGCGAGATACATCGAGTTTCACCCGATCACATGATACAATACTCGATGCATCTATTAAGAAATAATGGTTGATGAAAAACAATATGAACTAGATACATCTAGCCCTTCATCGTACGATTCATCTACCTATTACAAAAAACCAATCGCTAAGGTATGTAATGAGTTTTAAATCAAGATAAGATGCAGATAGGGCGAAAGACGTAAGGTGCGTAATAAGAGAACGAAAGAACATATCTTTTATCTTTTTGCTATTCTATTTTTTACGATCAAAAACACGTTGACAGCAATCAAAATGAAAAAAACAGAATAGGAATATGAAACTTATTATAACGAAAGAAAAGAAAAGAGCTAACGTTAGTGATACGAAATGAATTCTTTTTTTTCTTCTTTTCTTCTACTCTTAACGACATGTTTTAAGCGCATAAAATATATTCAAATTAATATTCTATATAGTGTGAAGCCAATATGATAGCTTATCCACTGGAATAATGAGCTAATTTTATAGATAGATTTCAGCAGTCTGAAGAACTTTTTCACTTGATCTAATACCAACTTCGGCGTTTTATCTACTATGCTTTAGACGGAAACACAAGTATAAGAGTCAGTCTGTAATACATTCGAGAAGGTTGACTGGTGGAGGGGTTTCCGAACTGATCAAAGATAAAGCAGACAAAAAGCTAGAAGAATATGGCTACAGAAAGGACAAGAACATATAAGGTTAGAAATCGATCCACTCTCTTTTTCGAGTAAAAATGGCTTCCTATCAACTAAAAATACAGCAGTATTCAATCCTGGATGAAATCAAATACATTTGTTCACTAAAATCCCGTAAAAAAGAAAAAAATTTCTCGACAATACCATTCCCATCGATAACCTCAAAACCAGCCCTACATCATGAGTAAACGCTACTTCTCTCATCCTTCTTACACTCAAAGAGACTAATGAAACACACGAATCAATAGCCCGTGAAATTCTTCACAAACTGAGCTGGTCAGTATCTTGACCGATTGAGCCAGCCATCGCAGACATGCAAAAGAAGTGTTCAAATACCGAAAACACCCGTAGAGTGCTCTTTTAATCAATATATTCTGCGAGAACAAAAAATTATTCGTTTTTCTATAATGTACTGTTCGATAGACCATGAAATTCTCGACAAACTTACAATTC